CAAGGCCAGCATGGCCTTGTTGTCTACGTACAGCACTGGAGGAGAACTAGGCGGCTCTCCGAGGTCAGTCAGCAGGTAGGTGAGCCAGCAAAGCTCCTGTGCAGCCATGGCCCCTGCGTAGATCTCAGCCTCACAACTGGAGCCGAGAACAGAAGACGAGCGGGTAGCCCGCCACGAAACAGAGCCGGAACGAAGGCTGAAGGTGTAACCCTGTGACGACTGCTGCGTAGACTGGTCGTCAACCCAAGAAGCGTCTCCGTGCCCAGTGAGGACCACTGGACTCTGCCCTCCAAGCACAAGCCCCATGCCCGACGTACTACACAAGTAGCGCAACACCCTCTTCGCTGCAGCCATGTGCTCCGGTCTGTGTCTCCCAAGAGCAACATAGCATGCGAGAATGCTAAGAGGGTATGCAAGGTCAGGTCGTGTGCAGGTCATCAGGTACATGAGGCAGCCAACAAGCTCTGGGTATGGCCCACTCGACTCTACGGACTCATCCGAAGGCAGAGCTGAGAGGGAGTGGCGAGTAGGCAAAGGAGTGGCCTGAGGCGAGGAGTACGTGAAGCCGAAGAGCTGAAGGACCTGCTGCACCATGTGTGACTGAGTCAGGGTAATGGTGCGGCGTGCTCTGTCCCGGGTGATCTGCAAGGCAAGGTAGCTACGCAGTTCACCCAGGTCAGTGCACGTGTGTCTCTTCTGCAGCTCGAACTTCACGTGGGCGAGTCCAGCAGTGTCAGCTGTGGCAAAGACCAAGTCGTCGACGTACACGAGGATGTAGAACGGCGGCAAAGAAGTGTCGGTGTGTAGAAACAGCAACGGGTCGGCAGTAGAGGGAGCAAACCCAAGAGCCGCAAGTGTAGTCCTCAGTGTGTCGTGCCACTCACGCGGTGCCTGGCGGAGACCGTAGACTGGCCGCCGGAGGCTCCACTGGGTGCTAGGAGGAAAAGACCCAGTGAAGCCAGGTGGGCGGCGCAGCCAGATCTCCTCGTGCAGGCTGCCCTGCAAGAAAGCATTGCTGAAGCCAAGAGAGTGCAGCTCGTAGTCACGGTGAGCAGCTATGTGCAGCAGTACCCAAAGAGTGGTCATCTTCGGGGTGGGAGAGAAGGTCTGAAAGTAGTCAACTCCCTGCCGCTGACTGAAGCCACGAGCCACGTAACGCGCCTTGAAGACAGGCGGAGAACCCGGCGGCCGCTTCACCCTGAAAATCCACATGCCACTGATGATGTTCGCCCCAGGAGGGGGAACGTCGTCAACGTAGGTGCCTGTGGACTTCTAGGAAGCCATCTCTGCCTCCATAGCTGCCTGCCACTGAGAGGAGTAGGGACCCTCTATCGCCTCCGCGTACGAGCGCGGAGTCGGGATGTCAAGTGCATCCGGGTCTCCCTCAGGGGTAAGCAGTACGGACACGAGATGAGGTGAAGCAGCAGCCAAACACTGGAACTCCTCCTGCCTGTCCTCAAGGACATCTGTGCCAAGGGCACATTCACCCCCGACGGACATAGGACAGACAGACTCAGACTCAGCAACAAGACTAGCAGCGTAGTCTAGGCGACAGCGAGCAGCAAAGTTGACGAGCTCAGCAACTAGGGCAGACGCAGCAGTGGACTCAAAGGAAGGGTCAGTGACAACAGTAGAAAGGAGACGCGTGACAGTCGGACTGGCAGCACGAAGAGAGTCCGACTCCGAGTCGGCAAGAGCAGGAAGAGAAGACTCAGGAGGAGAAGGGAAAGGGGCACGCAGAGGAGCAGTGGACGGACGCAGAGACATTCGGTGCGTTCCAGGGACAGGAGGAGGACGCTGACGCGAACCACGACCACTAGCGCGAGTAGCACGGACAGGAGACGCAGGGCGAGACGCAGGATCACGACGCTCAGCAAAACCTCCAGTAGGACCAGTGTAGGGAGAAGGAGCAGGCAGTGGGGAGGCCGGCTGTAACTGTAACTGTGACGGGACAGACTGTGGACACTCTAAGGGAGGAGGAGGACCAGTAGAAGACGGGAGACCAAGAACCTGCTGAAGGAGCGGAACGAAGTACGGCCGAGGCCGCGCAGCAACTCCAGACACAGCAGGGACAGTACCTGTACCCCTAGTGGCAGCACCAGCGCCAATAGCACCGCCAGCTCCAGCACCCCCAACAGCTCCACTAGCTCCAGGACCTCCAGCAGCACCAGTAGTACTCCCACCAGGACCGCCTCCAGTACCGCCAGCAGTACCCTCAGCGCCAACACCCTCAGCAGCTCCAGCTCTAGACGGACCACGAGAAGAGGTAGTGGCTCTAGCTCCAGTACTCCCAGTACGAGCACCTCCGGGACCCGTGGCACCAGCACCCTCAGCAGCCGAAGAACCTCCAGCTCCAGCAGCACGCCTCCAGCGCCGGGCAAACCACTCACGCACCTCTTGTGGAGAGAGTGGCTCCCGTCGGGACGGAGCACCCGGAGAACCTCCAGGCCCAGCACCGCCACACGCCACACGAGTAGGCCCAGCTCCCTCAGGCTCCGCACTCCCAGGCTCAGCAACTCCAGGCGTAGCACCCCCAGGCTCAGCACCCCCAGTCGTAGCACCCCTAGGCTCAGCTCCCCTAGACTCAGCACCCCCAGGCTCAGCACCCCCAGTCGTAGCACCCTCAGGCTTAGTACCCCAAGGCTCAGCAGCCCCAGGCGTAGCACCCACACGCTCAGCACCCCCACAGTCAGCACCCCCAGGCTCAGCACCCCCAGCAGGACCAGAGTCACCAGCGACCTCCACAGGCTCGACCGCATCTACCTGGGACACACCTGAAGGGGCAGGACCCTGAGGGGGAAGGGGGTCTACCAGGGGGGGACGTGGCACAAGGAAGAGCGGTGGCGGGGGGAGGGACGGAGTGCGGTAGGGGAAGAGTCGGTAGTAGGGGACCGACTCGTCAAACGTGACGTCCTGGGAGGACAGAATACGGCGAGAGGTGGGGTGGTAGAACTGCCACCCTGGCGCGTCAGGGGGGAAGCTAAGGAAGACGCAGGGAGCTGCACGAGGGGACAGCTTGTCCGCAGGCAAGTCGCGGACAAACGCCCGAGATCCCCAGACAAGGAACGCAGACGCATCGCCAACCTTTCCCGTCCACAGCAAAGCTGAGGAGGTCTCTGGCATGGAGACCCTGGGCTAAAGGTTGATCTGATGCGCCGCGTACCGAACCGCAAACGGCCACAGAAAATGGGGGGCAGCCGCATGCATCATGGACGTACGGGCGACGTCCATGACCATGCCAATGCGGCACTCAGCAATCCCATTTTGCTGTGGAGAGTCCGGAAGCGTAAAGGTCTGGCGGATGCCTCGTGCACGACAGTAGGCTCGCAGAAGGCCAGAGGAGAACTGTCCGCCTCGGTCAGAGTGCAGACGCAGAACAGGAAAGTCCGAGCCGAAACTCTTCCTGAGCTGGAGACGAGCTGCGCGGATCCAGTCAATCAACACCTCAGTGACATCACCCTTGCTGCGCAAGGGGAAGACTGTGGTGTAACGCGAGTAGTCGTCAACCACCAGCAGAAAGTAGCGCTCGTGACCGTGTCCACGGACGCTGGCTGGGCCCCACATGTCCATGTGAAGCGTCTGCAGCGGGGCCTCTGTCGGAGGAAACTAGGAGGAGTGAGGGGCAGCACGCTGCTGTCAAACATTATATATGTTATGCTTGTGTAGGCTACAGTGGGTTAGCCTATAGGGGGTACACAATTCTAGGGTTTCCTACTTGTACTCATTTCACTGCTAGTTCATCCATTCCTGTTCGCTTATTCTCACATGGTATAGAGCGGGTCCTTCTACGGACCGTTTTTTTTTGGGCCCACCGAAGCGCCCCCCGAGGCGCGATCTTTTTTTAGCGACCCCTCGAGTCGCCATTTCCCCTGCGGCCCCGCCGCCTTCACTGACGCGGCTCCGCTGCCCTCTCTGTCGCGGCCCCGCCGCCTGCTCTCACGCGGCCCCGCCCCGGCTTCTACGCGGCCCCGCCCCGGCTTTCACGCGGCCCCGCCGACGGCTTTGTCGCGGCCCCGCCCAGGCCCTTACGCGGCTCCGCCGCCTGCTCTCCCGCGGCCCCGCCCCGGCTCCTTCGCGGCCCCGCCGCCTGCTCTCGCGCGGCCCCGCCCCGGCTTCTACGCGGCCCCGCCCCGGCTTTCACGCGGCCCCGCCGACGGCTTTGTCGCGGCCCCGCCCAGGCCCTTACGCGGCTCCGCCGCCTGCTCTCACGCGGCCCCGCCCCGGCTCCTTCGCGGCCCCGCCCCGGCTCCTTCGCGGCCCCGCCACCTGCTCTCGCGCGGCCCCGCCCCGGCTTCTACGCGGCCCCGCCCCGGCTTTCACGCGGCCCCGCCGACGGCTCTGTCGCGGCCCCGCCCAGGCCCTTACGCGGCCCCGCCGCCTGCCCCCGTCGCGGCCCGGTCACCTCCTGACGGCCCCGCCGTCCCTTCGTGACGGCCCCGCCGTCCCTTCTTGACGGCCCCGCCGTCCCCTCCTGACGGCTCCTGCCGTCCCCTTCTACCGGCCCCGCAACTGCACCTGCTGGCCCCGCCGCTGCACCTACCGGTCCCCCACCACCCACCCCCCCTTTTCCCGTCGCCTGTCGAGGCGACCTGAGGGGGCCGCTTGCGTGTGTGTGGCCAGCAGAGGGGTGGCAGGTGTGTGGCCTCCCCTGCTTCTCCTCCTCCTTCATCTCCCACTGCAGCAGCCGAGCCGCTCACCTGCAGCAGCCGAGCCGCCCCACAGCCGAGCCGCCCTGCCGCCGAGCCGCCGGGTCGCTGAGCTGCTGAGCTGCAGTTGCTGCTGAGCCGCCTTGCCGCCGAGCCCCCCGAGTCGCCCGAGCCGCCGAGCCGCCGAACTGCCAAGCCGCTGGGTCGCCGAGCCTACTCTTCCCACCACTGGTGAGCTCTTGCCCTGCTAGCACACTGCGCGTCGCCTGCTTGCCTGCCTGCCTGCCTTTTGGCTTGCCTGGCTGCCTGCCTCCCTGCTGCTAGTCCTGCTCCTGATTCTACTTGCGGAGCCACATGCAACCCCAGCGACGCCGGCGTGAGTCCCTCACGCCCCAGCAGCTGCGTGAGTGGTACGCTGGTTGGGGCTGTAAGGGTGGCGACGCTACTCCTACTACCACTCCTGCTGCTTCTACTCGTGGTGGCGGCCAGATGCAGCTCCCGCGACCCTCTCGCGTGTCTCTCACGCCTCGCCAGCTTCGTGAGTGGTACGCTCAGAGTGGAGGGTCTCTCACTGCTGTTCGCTGCTCTTACGTGATTCGCACTGGTACTCGGACTGGTCAGCCTTGTGGGACACGTAGTCATACACCGTCCCGCTGCTTCGCCCGTCTGAGCGACGCCTGGCGTACCGTGTTTGGCGACGAGGCTGAGCTTCCCGACTGGGTGGAGTTACTTAGGCAGAGGGTGGATATATATGCTCTTGACTATGATGCTATTCTCACTGCCATGTATGCATTGCCTACTAGTGCTGACAGTGCCGGTCACCTGTGCGTCCCGCCTGACCCAGGTATAGGACCTGCTGCTCTAGCTACTGGTGAGGCTGCTGCTCTAGGTGCTAGTGAGTCTGCTTCCTCAGGTGCGGGTGAGGCTGCGCTCTCAGGTACCGCGTTGGCTTCGGCCTCCCTCACCTTTACACTTGACTCTGGGGCTTCTCGCTCCTTCTTTCGGGACCGCACCACACTCACGCCGCTTGGTCGGCCGGTTGCAGTCTCCCTGGCTGACCCCTCTGGGGGTCCTGTCCTCGCTCACTTCTCCACTGTCCTCCCGTGTCCGGCTGCCCCCTCGGGCACCCTGTCTGGCCTGTACCTCCCCTCGTTCTCGACGAACTTGGTGAGTGGTGCAGACCTACAGGATGCGGGGGTTCACTAGTTCACTCCTGCGAGTCAGCGGGTGACCCACTGCACGGACGCACGCACAGGCCGGCACCTGGCCACGTTCTCGCGTCGGCCGGGGTCGAGCCTCTACACCCTGACCACTGAGTCTCCTCCTGTCCCCGCGTCCAGTCAGGTAGCAGCGTCGGGTCAGGTGTTTGCTGCTGCGTCCAGGTCTGGTCCTGAGTCTGCCCCCTGTACTTGTCGCCTCCTGTCTCACGAGACTCTCCTGTGGCACCACCGTCTTGGTCACCCCTCCTTGCCCCGTCTTCGGAGCATGGCTTCCCGTGTCCTTGTCTCTGGTCTTCCCCAGTCTCTCCCTCCTCTCCCCTCCGGGCCAGGACCTTCCTGTGTCCCCTGTGTCGAGGGTCGCCTCCGGGCTACTCCTCACTCCTCCCACTTCCCCCCGACAGAGGCTCCCCTGCAGACGCTTCACATGGATGTGTGGGGCCCAGCCCCCGTCCGTGGGCAGGGTTACGAGCGCTACTTCCTGTTGGTGGTTGACGACTACTCGCGTTACACCACAGTCCTCCCCTTGCGCAGCAAGGGTGAGGTCACTGAGGTGCTGATCGACTGGATCCGCGAGGCTCGTCTCCAGCTCAGGAAGAGCTTCGGCTCGGACTTTCCTGTTCTGCGTCTGCACTCTGACAGAGGCGGAGAGTTCTCTTCTCGCCTTCTGCGAGACTACTGTCGTGCACGGGGGATCCGCCAGACCTTCACGCTTCCGGACTCACCACAGCAAAATGGGATTGCTGAGCGCCGCATTGGCATGGTCATGGATGTCGCTCGTACGTCCATGATGCATGCGGCTGCCCCCCATTTTCTGTGGCCGTTTGCGGTGAGGTACGCGGCGCATCAGCTCAACCTTCACCCCCGGGTCTCTCGGCCTGCGATGTCCCCAGCCTTGCTGTGGACGGGGAAGGTTGGCGATGCGTCTGTGTTCCGTGTCTGGGGATCTCGGGCGTTTGTCCGCGACTTGTCTGCGGACAAGCTGTCCCCTCGTGCTGCTCCCTGTGTCTTCCTTGGCTTCCCCACTGACGCCCCAGGGTGGCAGTTTTACCACCCCTCCTCTCGTCGTGTTCTGTCCTCCCAGGACGTCACGTTCGACGAGTCAGTCCCCTTCTACCGTCTCTTCCCCTACCGCACTCCTTCCCTCCCCCCTCCCCCGGACTTCCTTGTGCCGGTTCCCCCCCCGGTAGACCCCCTCCCCCCTCAGGTTCCTGCCCCCTCAGGTGTGTCCCAGGTAGACGCCGTTGACCCGGTCGAGGTTACTGGTGACTCTGGTGCTGCTGCGGGTGCTGAGCCTGGGGGTGCTGACTCTGGGGGTGCTGTGCGCGGGGGTGCTGAGCCTGGGGGTGCTACTGCTGGGGGTGCTGGGCCTGAGGGTGCTACTGCGGAGGGTGCGGAGCCTGGGGGTGCTGAGCCGGGGGGTGCTGTGCCTGGAGGTGCTGGGTCTGGGGGTGCTGGGTCGGGAGCTGCTGAGCCTGGGGGTGCTGCGTCTGGAGCTGCTGAGCCCGGGGTTTCTCCTGCTGCTGCGTCTCGCCGGGAGCCCCTCTCTCCACAGGAGCTGCGCGAGTGGTTTGCTCGCCGCTGGAGGCGTGCTGCTGAGTCTGGAGGTGCTGCTGGAGCTGGAGCTGGAGCTTCTTCGACCGTCGAGGGTGCGGGTGCTGCCGGTCCCGGAGCTCCTGGACCTGCGGGTCCTCCTGGAGCTGGAGCTGCTGAGGGCGTTGGTGCTGAGCCTACTGCTGTTGGTCCTGCCGCTGGAGGTGTGGGTGGCGCTGGTGCTGTCGCTGAGGGTGCTGGTGCTGTCCCTGCTGCGTCTGGAGCTGCTGAGCCTGGGGTTTCTCCTGCTGCTGCGTCTCGCCGGGAGCCCCTCTCTCCACAGGAGCTGCGCGAGTGGTACGCTCGCCGCTGGAGGCGTGCTGCTGAGTCTGGAGGTGCTGCTGGAGCTGGAGCTGGAGCTTCTTCGACCGTCGAGGGTGCGGGTGCTGCCGGTTCCGGAGCTGCTGGACCTGCGGGTCCTCCTGGAGCTGGAGGTGCTGAGGGCGTTAGTGCTGAGCCTACTGCTGTTGGTCCTACCGCTGGAGGTGTGGGTGGCGCTGGTGCTGTCGCTGAGGGTGCTGGTGCTGTCCCTGCTGAGTCTGGAGCTGCCGCGCGGCCTCGGCCGTACTTCGTTCCGCTCCTACAGCAGGTTCTTGGTCTTTCTCCTTCGGTAGAGTGTCCACCGCCTGTCCAGTCGCAGTCACTGTTGGAGCCTTCCTCTCCTCTGCCTGCTCCCTCTCCTTACACTGGTCCTACTGGAGGTCTTGCTGAGCGTCGTGAGCCTGCGTCTCGTCCCGCGTCGCCTGTTCGTGCTGCTCGCGCTAGTGGTCGCGGTTCGCGTCAGCGTCCTCCTCCTGTCCCTGGCACGCACCGGATGTCTCTGCGTCCGTCCACTGCTCCTCTGCGTGCCCCTTTGCCTTCTCCTCCTGAGTCCTCTCTTCCTGCGCTTGCCGACCCTGAGTCGGACTCTCTTCGCGCTGCCAGTCCTACTGTCACGCGTCTGCTTGCTACTGTCGTCACTGACCCCTCTTTTGAGTCCACTGCTGCGTCTGCTCTAGTCGCTGAGCTCGTTGACTTTGCTGCTCGCTGTCGTCTCGACTACGCTGCTGGTCTTGTTACTGAGTCTGCGTCTGTCTGTCCTCCGTCCGTCGGGGGTGAGTGTGCTCTTGGCACGGACGTCCTAGAGGACAGACAGGAGGAGTTACAGTGTCTAGCGGCTGCTTCACCTCATCTCGCGTCTGTACTGCTTGCCCCTGAGGGAGACCCGGATGCACTAGACATCCCGACTCCGCGTTCTTACGCGGAGGCCGTAGAGGGTCCCTACTCCTCTCAGTGGCAGGCAGCTATGGATGCAGAGATGGCTTCCTGGAAGTCCACAGGCACCTACGTTGACGCAGTTCCCCCTCCTGGGGCGAACATCGTCAGTGGCATGTGGATCTTCCGGGTGAAGCGGCCGCCGGGCTCTCCACCTGTCTTCAAGGCGCGGTACGTTGCTCGAGGCTTCAGTCAGCGGCAGGGAGTTGACTACTTTCAGACCTTCTCTCCCACCCCGAAGATGACCACTCTTCGGGTGCTGCTGCACATAGCCGCTCAGCGCGACTACGAGCTTCACTCTCTTGACTTCAGCACTGCGTTCCTGCAGGGTAGCCTGCACGAGGAGATCTGGCTGCGCCGTCCACCTGGCTTCACAGGGACTTTCCCTCTTGGCACCCAGTGGAGCCTCCGACGGCCAGTCTACGGTCTCCGCCAGGCACCACGTGAGTGGCACGACACACTGAGGACTACGCTTGCGGCTCTTGGGTTTGCTCCTTCTACTGCTGACCCGTCGCTGTTTCTGCGCACCGACACTTCACTGCCGCCGTTCTACATCCTCGTGTACGTCGACGACTTGGTCTTTGCCACAGCGGACACTGCTGGACTCGCCCACGTGAAGTCCGAACTGCTGAAGAGACACACGTGCACAGACCTGGGTGAACTGCGCAGCTACCTTGGCTTGCAGATCACTCGGGACAGAGCACGCCGCACCATTACCTTGACTCAGTCACACATGGTGCAGCAGGTCCTTCAGCGCTTCGGCTTCACGTACTCCTCGCCTCAGGCCACTCCTCTGCCTACTCGCCACTCACTCTCAGCTCTGCCTTCGGATGAGTCCGTAGAGTCGAGTGGTCCGTATGCAGAGCTTGTTGGCTGCCTCATGTACCTGATGACCTGCACACGACCTGACCTTGCATATCCTCTGAGCATTCTTGCACGCTATGTTGCTCCTGGGAGACACAGACCAGAGCACATGGCTGCAGCGAAGAGGGTATTGCGCTACCTGTGCAGTACGTCGGGCATGGGGCTTGTGCTTGGAGGGCGGAGTCCAGTGGTCCTTACCGGCCACGCGGACGCTTCTTGGGCTGACGACCAGGCTACGCAGCGGTCGTCACAGGGTTACACCTTCAGCCTTGGTTCCGGCTCTGTCTCGTGGCGGTCTACTCGCTCGTCTTCAGTTCTCGGCTCCAGTTGTGAGGCTGAGATCTACGCCGGGGCCATGGCTGCACAGGAGCTTCGCTGGCTCACCTACCTGCTGACTGACCTTGGAGAGCCGCCTCGTTCTCCTCCAGTGCTGTACGTAGACAACAAGGCCATGCTGGCCTTGTGTCGAGAGCAGCGCTTGGAGCACAGAACGAAGCACATTGCTCTCCGCTACTTCCTTGCTCGTGAGCTGCAGCAGCGTGGTCAGTTGCGACTTGCGTACGTGGCCTCTAAGGCCAACACTGCTGATGTCTTCACCAAGGCACTCGCGCCTTGTGACCATCAGCGCTTTTGCACCCAGCTGGGTCTTGTGCCTGTCTTGCCTCACTTGCTCTCCTCTTGACTTCACTTGTACTGTGACATATATATATATACCTGCTCTTGCTTGTCTAGTTTTATATATATGTCTGTACTCCTGCATGTGAACTGGCCTCTGGCCCTGCTCTTGTGCTCGGACTGTGTGGTGACTTTGTGATCCACCCTGAGCTTGCTTTGCTTTGCTTGACTGGTCTTGTGACCCCTTGTTCTCCCCCACTTTGCCTATGGGGGTGTGTCAAACATTATATATGTTATGCTTGTGTAGGCTACAGTGGGTTAGCCTATAGGGGGTACACAATTCTAGGGTTTCCTACTTGTACTCATTTCACTGCTAGTTCATCCATTCCTGTTCGCTTATTCTCACAGCTGCCGCCCCTCGACACAGAGGACGCAGGTAGGGGCAGGCCCCGGAGGAAGGGGAGGGAGGGACCGGGGAAGACCAGAGACAAGGACACGGGAGGCCATGCCTCGGAGACGAGGCAGCGAGGGGTGACCAAGGAGGTGGTGCTAGAGGAGAGTCTCGTGAGACAGGAGGCGACACGAGCAGGGGGCAGACTCAGGACCAGACCTGGATGCTGCACCAAACACCTGACCCGACGAAGCTGCCTGACCAGTCGCAGTGACTGGAGGAGACTCAGTGGTGAGTGTGTACAGGCTCGACCGTGGCCGACGTGTAAACGTGGCCAAGTGTCGGCCCGTCCGAGCGTCCGTGCAGTGGGTCACTTGCTGGCTCGCAGGAGTGAACTGGTGAACCCCCGCATCCTGCAGGTCAGCACCACTCACCAAGTTCGTAGAGAACGAGGGGAGGTAAAGACCAGACAGGGTGCCAGAGGGGGCCGCCGGACACGGGAGGACAGTGGAGAAGTGAGCAAGGACAGGACCCCCAGAGGGGTCTGTTGGTGCAACCCTACGGTTTGCACTCGGCTTGTTGTCCGTGTGCGTGCATGTGTGTGTGTATGGAATGGTATGAGGGCATGGGATAATATATATTTCAAGCTTATAATTGTGTTTGAATGTTGAGTCATGATGTCGAGTGTGTGTGTCGAGTCAATAGCGAGTTATCGCTAGACGCGTGTTACGTGGTCGTTTGTGTCTCGCGCGCGGTTTCTATTTTGTCGTGCGCGGTTTCTATTTTGTCCTGTGTCGAACGTTCAGCGTGTCGCAGGTGTGTGCAGCAGACCCATCAAGAACTCAAGGATGAGTTTGTGATGAAGAGCCTGAGCCTTGGTGTCAAGCCTCAAGTGATTTCGAAGCTCGCCAAAAGGGTGCACCTCAAGATATTGAAGATAGTTACATTACTTTGTGTAGTCTAACATTTCACTTGGTGTAGGCCCTAGTGAAGGGTAGTTTCGAGACCCTTCGTGGTTGGGGACATTGTGGCACTGTTCCACATCACTGTACCTCAGCTCTTGGGGCTTGTAGGAGCTGGGAGTCATTCCCAGCTCGTAACTCTTCATATCTCTTCCTATTTTGTTTTCTAAGACTATAGTGGCTGCCATTGTGCCGTTCGTTCAAACCGTCAGTGTGTCGTCAGTACTTGGTGAAATTGTGCGATTTAAAATGCCTATTGTAGGGGACGTTTAGACGCTCCAGATCCAAGTTGAATCAGGTCATTTGAAGTTGTGACCTGAACGCTATGAACGTTTGAAGCCGCTGTGCAGAAATCCAGCTGTGCACTCTATCTTTCGTTTTAGGCACATTGGAGCCGATTGTGACTATAACAGGGTCTGCCAGAGAGACTGCAACTGGCGGACCAAGCAGCGTGACTGTGGTGCGGTCTCGAAAGAAGGAGCGAGAAGCCCCCGAGTCAAGGGTGAAGGTGTGGGAGGCCGGAGCCGACGCAGTACCTGAGAGAGTAGACTCACCAGCACCTGAGGAAGCAGACGCACTGGCACCTAGAACAGCAGCCTCGCTAGCACCTAGAGCAGCAGCCTCACCAGTACCTAGAGCAGCAGTCCCAATGCCCGGGTCGGGCGGAAAACACTGGTAACAGTCATCCTCATCACTAATAGTCACAGCATACATGGCAGCAAGAATAGCATCAAAGTCAAGGTCAAAGATAGCTACTCCCGCCCTAGACAGCTCGCCCCAGCGAGGGATCTCACTGGCCTCGGGGAACTGGTGACGCCAAGCGTCCGTCAGGCGGCCAAAGCAGCGCTGGGTGGAGTGCGCACCCCCGCGCGGTCGCTGGTGCGTAGGACGTAGGTGCACGGACCAGTACCCCCACCCCGCTGGCGTGCAGCGTACCACTCACGAAGCTGCTAAGGGGGGGGGGGGATCTCACGAGTGCGCTGCTGCTGCTGCTGCTGTTGGCGCTGACCACCACCGGAGCTGACCCTCTGCGCAGCGCCACCCCGACCAGCTCCACCTCCTCCGCCGCCGCCTCCTCCACCGCCGCCACCTCCGCCACCTCCGCTCCCACCGCCACCGCCGCCGCCGCCTCCGCCTCCACTGCCGCCACCGACGCCCCCACCCCCGCCACCACCCCCACCGCCACCCCCACCCCCTCCCCCGCCTCCACCGCCGCCTCTGTCAGAACATCATAACTTATGCATTTTGTGTAGGCTGTAGTGGGGTAGCCCATAAGGGGTACAACCCAATTAGGGTTAGTACTTGTACCCAACTCTTTCATAGTTCATTCATTTCTCATTCTAGTTTTCTCATGGTAGTGAACAGGTTCCCTCGTGGGAACTGTTCCTAGGGCGCATCGATTCGATTTTTTTTTTTCCTGCCCGGAGCGCGCTGAGCCCTTGCCCGAGTCGCGCTCCCCTCTCTCGACCCTGTCGTGCCGCCTTAGCAGCCCCTTAGCGTGGCCCTCGCGGCCCTCATCCCGTCGCGCCGCCCTAGCGGCTGCGTCGCGCCGCCCTTGCGGCCCCGATCCGCCGCCCTAGCGACCCCGTCGCCTACCCTTGCGGCCCTGGCGCCGCCCTTCCCGGCCCCAATCTGCTGCCCTAGCGGCCTCGTTGCCTACCCCGCGGCCCTGGCACTGCCCTTCCCGGCCCCGATCCGCCGCCCTGCGACCCCGTCGCCTACCCTGCGGCCCCGGCGCCGCCCTTCCTGACCCCGATCCGCCGCCCTGCGGCCCCGTCGCCTACCCCGCGGCCCCGGCGCCGCCCTTCCCAGCCCTGACGCCGCCCTTACTGACCCGGCCCCGCCTCTGCTGGCCCCGTCGCCTACCTGCCGCCCCGGCGCTGCCCTTCCCGGCCCCGTCGCCTACCTCTGCGGCCCCAGCGCCGCCTATGCCGGCCCAGCCGCCGTCCCCACGCGGCCCCGCCGTCACCACCGAGCCGCCGGCGCCGCCGCCTGCTGCCCAGCCGCCCACCATGCCGAGCCGCCCGAGCCGCCCGACCTACCGAACCGCCCGAGCCGCCCGACATGCCGAGCTGCCCGAGCCGCCCGAGCAGCCCGAGCCGCCAAGTCGCCCGAGCCGCCGAGCCGCCTGTGCCGCCGAGTCGCCGAGCCGCAGTTGTTGCCGAGCCGCCGAGCCGCTGAGCCGCCCGAGCCGCCCTGTCCGGTAAGAGCAGCGCCTCTATCACTGCACTGCCCTTACCCTACTGTTTGCGCTGCTAGTCTACTGCTATCATGGCTACCCCCAGTGTCCTCGCTTTGGACGCTGAGGGTCGGGCTATTGACTTTGACGTCTGGCTAGATGACCTGCAGCTTTTCCTACAGTGCGATAGGGCAAACGGTCTCTCCCTCTTTGACCTTACCTTTGGCGCCTCTCCTGCCCCTGCTGCTGATGCTGACACCACTGTTCGCTCACAGTGGGCCACACGCGATGCTGCTGCACGTCTTGCTGGGCGTCGCCACCTTCCTACCACTGAGCGTGCGCACTTTAGCCAGTACAAGAGTGCTCAGACCTTGTACGACGCTGTAGTTGCACGCTACTCCTCCCCTGCCACTTCTGCACTGAGCCGCCTCATGCTACCGTACCTCTTCCCTGACCTTGCTGCCTTCCCCACAGTCGCTGACCTCATTACGCACCTCCGCACTAGTGACACTCGCTACCGCGCTGCGCTTCCTGCTGAGTTCTGCGCCAAGAACCCCCCGCTCATGTACATCACCCTCTACTACATAGTCACCCGGCTCCCTGACTCTCTGCGCGTAGTCAGAGACCACTTCCTCTCAGTTTGCCCCACCACTCTCACCGTTGACCTCCTCGAGAAGGCCCTCCTAGCAGCAGAGAAGAGCATAGTCGCTGTAGGAGCCTCTCGTGGTGACCCTCGCACCCCCGTCTTTGAGGGGTGTTCCCCCTCCCACCTCCTGCCCTCTGTTGCCTCTGCTGCTGCGGCCGACCTCGTTGGTTTCGAGTCGGTCGGCGCTGCGTCTGCCCCGAGCGGGAAACGCCGCACCGGCAAGGCCAAGGGGGGCAAGGGCGCTGGAGGGGCTGGCAGGGGTGGCGGAGGTGGTGGTGGAGGCAGTGGAGGGGGTGGGGGTGGTGGTGAGAGTGGTGGCGGGGGTGGAGGTGTTGGTGGCGGCAGTGGAGGCGGAGGCGGCGGCGGCGGTGGCGGTGGGAGCGGAGGTGGCGGAGGTGGCGGAGGTGGCGGCGGAGGAGGTGGAGCTGGTCGGGGTGGCGCTGCGCAGAGGGTCAGCTCCGGTGGTGGTCAGCGCAAGTAGCAGCAGCAGCAGCAGCAGCGCACTCGTGACACCCCCCCCCTCAGCAGCTCCGTGAGTGGTACCCTGCACGCCAGCGGGGTGGGGGTACTGGTCCGTGCACCTACGTCCTACGCACCGGCGACCGCGCGGGTGAGCAGTGCGGGGGTGCGCACTCCACCCAGCGCTGCTTTGGCCGCCTGACGGACGCCTGGCGCCACCAGTTCCCTGAGGCCACTGAGATCCCTCGCTGGAGCGAGCTGTCTAGGGCGGGAGTAGCTATCTTTGACCTTGACTTTGATGCTATTCTTGCTGCCATGTATGCTGTGACTGTTAGTGATGAGGGTGACTGTTACCGGTGTTTTCCGCCCGAATCGAGCATTGAGACTGCTGCTCTAGGTGTTGGTGAGGCTACTGCTCTAGGTGCTAGCG